GGGGCCTCAGGGAAGGGGGCTGGGGTGCAGGGTATGGCAGGGGGTGGAGGTGCTTGAGGGGTGCGGCAGGGAGCTCAGGGCAAGGGGTTGCGGTGCAGGCTACGACCTGGCACCGCTTACCTTGAGTGGCTCTGGGGTGGCGAAGCGCGCAGCGGGGCTAAGGCAGGCTCCCTGCCTGCCCTGGCCCTGCGCTGCTCCCGTAAGCGGCCAGCACCATGTCCCTGCAGCCCGGGGGTGGGAGAAAGGGGGAAAGAGGGCAGAGGGCTCCGCGTGCTGCCCTCACCTGCAGGTACCTCCCCCGAAGCTCCCATTGGCCACAGTTCTCCATTCCTGGCCAATAGGAGCTGCGGGGGGCAGTGCCTGCAGGCTAGGGCAGTGCACGGAGCCCTGTGCTTCCCCCCCCCCCCCCGGGGGCTGCTGTGACTTGGTGCTGGCTGCTTCCCCCCACTTAGCCCCACAGTGTCACGGGGGTGGCAATCCCACGGGCCAGATCCAAAGCCCTGGCGGGCCAGATCTGGCCCACGGGCTGTAGTTTGCCCACCCCTGCTCTACATGTTACCACCCAACAGAAATGAAAGATGGCCCTGTTTGGTATTTTTTCTTAAGAAGCACAGATGCTGGAAACAACTTTTGTGTTCACTACTAATTACCTTGGCAGAAATGTAGATGTATAATACTAATATTTATCTTTAAGCATTTTTCAATTTTTATTGATTTAAATTTTCACAGTTGTGGAAAACTTGGGCTTTAAGCATTTTTCCTGTTTTTATCTATTCAAATTTTCATAATTGTGGGAAATTATGGGTGGTGGGGAGCTAGACAATTATTTAATGACAGCAGATATTGAGATTCAAATAGTTAAGTCTTTATAATATTAAAATACAACTTGTTAACCTCACATGTCAAAATACGCAAAAATAAAAGTTTTTCAGTCAAACTCCAACGTGTTCTTGAGCAACATTTTTCTTACTTTGTAAATTTCAATTATATTTTTCTGTTGGTTTGTGCGTTTACAGTGAAATCGAGGTTACCAACATTGACCAATTAAAAAAAAAATGTATGGTTTGATTTATTCAAGGTAAGTAGGTGTTTAGTTACATACTTCTCAAGAAACAAGTCTTGAGTCAGACTATTGTATTGTCACTATTTATTTTTCAAACATTATATATATATATATAATGTTTGAAAAATAATTTATTAAAAATAAAAAATATGGCATATATACACATGACAGAGACACAGAGTATATGTGACAGAGCCACATAGATGTCACACACACACACAAATATGACAATACCAATTTTGACTCTGTCACATATTCCATATCTTATAAAATATACCTTTTTTAATAAAACAAGATTCAAACCAATTAAATTTTTATAAATCATTATAAAACATTTGCAGTATTGTTTCCCTGACTCTATTTGACTCCCAATGTTACAAATTCTTATTTACAGCTTTAAAAATATGTAGGCCCAAATTCTGCTCTCAGTAATACTGATGTAAATTCAGAGTAACTCCACTGAAATAAATGGAGTTATTCCAGATTTATACCAGTGTTACTAAGAGCTGAATTTGGCCTATAGCATGGAAAAGGTCTGTAATAGCCTGCAAATGTTTTGGCCACAATTTTATGAACTGACCTGTAAATATTTATTGTATTGTTCTTTAGGGTTATCCTGATCTATTTCCTGCCACAATTTCTATTAAAATAAAACAGTATGTTAAAATGTAATTCTCTGCAAAATAGAGATTTGCACCTTTAAAATCTTTAATGGCAGTCTCATGACAGCCAGCAGTTCACTGCTCACTACTTTGATAGATTAACAGTTTTATCATTGGTCTTCCACAACACCTGCTGTGCTACCTTTGTACATTTTTGTTTGTTTAAATTAGTGGAATGTAAGGTTGGGTGTGCCTGATGCACTGTGCAGCATATCAGGTGCATTCAGCTGGATATACAATAGCTGGAGCAGTCAAATGATTATAGAGAGCTGATATGCATTTTAAAATCCTGAAACTGAAAATTCTTTTCCAAATAGATTTCTTACTGGGAGTTGCAGTTTATGGAGTACATTTCAAATAAAAAAAATGGTTTAGAATTAGTTTCTCCATCACTAACAGACAAGACCTTAGTTTACAATCACTAATGTCTGAAACCAATGAGAGGCATGCAGGCAGAAACTTGACATCCTAAATTGGAATCTTGGAAGGTGAAATGTCTATCAGTTCACCTTTTATATTAGGTGTGTGTGGTCTAACTGCACAGTATATTATCAAAGGTGATCACTGTAATAGTAACTCATAAGCTTTAAGAATCATTTCATTCCCTTTATTGCATAATCAGCTGACAGTGGTTTTCATGCATAATAAGGTGACTTATTCTCTGAAGTCTTTACATTCTCATGAAAGTTTAATTTTTCTTCATCCCTATTTGTTTATATTTGGCTGCATGTGAGTGGTCTCAAAAGGAACTGGTTTGATTTTAATTGTTTCCATCTCTCCTACCTCTTGGTTGCTTAATGAGATCTCAGTTCTCCTTTGCAAATGTTTGTTCTCGTTGTCTCTTTGATATGGGGCTGTTTCTGCAGGGAAGCAACTTGTTTTCACCGTTACTTATTCCCACGTCATCATTTAATTTGGTCAAATGATTTCTCTAAAGTATCTGTATATAGATGAATTCCTTGCTATCTGGTTTATCATGCGGGGCTATAAGTTATTCACAGTCTCTGGCACCTGGTGAAAGTTTTGAGGGGTCTCTGATGCTGTATGTTGTTTAGGAAAAGGAATGGAGTCTCTCAAGATAACGGTTTATACTCCATTTCTAGACCAGGTAATGCCCTTTTTTATATTCCTAGTGAAAATAAAGGTATTTTAAGGGAGGTATTAGAAATTATTGCTTTCTCAGTGCTGTGATGGCAGTGACCATGTCATTTTTCCCTATATGGAAGAAGCAAGCTCTTGATAAACCTATGAGCTCAGGATACATGAGTTAGAGAGAGAGGCCCAGATCCACAAAAGGAACCTTGGGTGTTGTGATGCTGAGAACTGCAACACCTAACTTTTAGGTGCCAGGAATAACACTGCAATCCACGAAGCCTGAGTTAGGTGCCCAGGCTCCTTATACAATGAATGGGACAAGATAGGCACCCAAGAATGTTATCCACAAAAGACAGCACACTGAGAAGTGAGTAGTCTAAGCAATCCAATAGGAATGCCGACAAGATGAGTGTTCCCTGCCCCCTCAAAGATAGGCACCTAAGTCCCAGGTTCAGGAAGGCACCTATCTCTGTTTGCAATCTACAACCAGGAATCTCTCTCCTGGAATCAGGGGGCTCAGGCACTTCGGTCACTTGCTGTGCAAATGTGTTAGGTGCCTCCTCATTCCACACAAAACCAGAGGAGGAGCTCACATTGTGGCCCAGTGATTAGAGCACTCGCCTGGAATGTGTGAGACCCAATTACAATTCCCACATCTGCATAAGCATGAGATAGGAGTTGA